TCCGAACTTGCAGACTCAATCATTAAATATCAAATTTCTGGAAACTATTATGAAGAAACTAAGGTCGGGATGCATTCTTATAATCATTTAATGACTTTTCAATTGCTGACATGCTGTGTTTGGATAATTTATTTAGCTTCTTATAGTCCAAATAATTTTTTTTTAGTGGTTTTTGCTAGCAAAGTACCACTACAAGTAGTTCATTCTAATGTGAAATAGTTATGACATTGTGTATATATGAGAGATATGCCAAATTGTGTTGACAACCTTAACCTAATCCTAATCTTTCACCTTCGAATAATGATATATTTGTTTTAAAATTAAATGGTCCTAGATGGCCTTACCAATTTTTGGATCTCCTTGTTGAAGCACATATGCATAATCTCGTGCATGTTTTACGGGTCTCTGTTCATTTACTCTTACAAGTCAGAAGTTGAAATATAATTTTCCATCTCAAATGGCTATGTTCATTAGTCATTGCTTGTTTGCTTCTCTCATAACATGCTTATTTCTGAAACTGTATGGTCTATATCATTCATCATTTAGGTTGGTTTACTAATGTTTGGAACAATATATCTGGCACAGTACTCAGCCCCTTCACGCAGTGCAACAGGTTCCAGATGTTATGCTACAGGATCATATGATTCAGTTAAAGTTGAAAACGAGGAATTCTATCCACATACAGTTTCTCAATCAAGGGGTGGTATTTTAACAAACAATTTAGGGAAGAGGCCTAAGCAAGAGTTTAGTGGTGATGATTCAAATTTTGTTCCAAATGCTGTTCCTCAGTTCAGGTCGTCCAGGCAGATAGCTGAAGAAAAGCGTAGAGGGAAAAGGCCAAAACAAGAGTACGTTCATAATTCAAACTCTTTCCTTGACCCAACATGGATGGAAGAGAAAGTTGACCCTGAAACTGGCAAAGTTGGAATTCCTAAACTTTTCAACAACAATCCTGGCAAAAGTGTGAACCTAATGGTGGCTAAACCTCCATATTTCTTTTATGGAAATATTGTGAGTTTAGCATATGATTCGTGGGCAAAAATTTCTCAGTTCTTGTATGGCCTTGAGCCTGAATACGTGAATACTCAATTCTTCTCGGCCTTGAGTAGAAGGGAAGGTTATGTACACAATCTCCCCACCGAGAATAGGTTTCGCATTGTTCCTGAGTCACCGATGACCATTGAGGATGCAATGCCACATACCAAGAAATGGTGGCCTTCGTGGGATACAAGGAAGCAAGTGATGTGCATCAGTTCTGAAACCAGTGGGATATCTAATCTTTGTGATAGGCTTGGAAGGTTGCTTTCGAATTCTCATGGACTGCCCTCTCCTGAGCAACAAAGGGACATCATTCATCATTGTCGCTCATCTAATCTTGTGTGGGTTGGAAAACACAAATTAGGCCCTGTAGAGCCTGAATATTTAGAGCGCATCCTAGGCTACCCATCGAGTCACACTCAAGTTGCCGAGAGCAGTTTAGTGGAAAGGCTTCTCTCACTTAAATATTGCTTTCAGACAGATACTTTGGGTTATCATCTTTCTGCGCTGAAGTCTATGTACCCAGAAGGATTAACAGTTTTCTCAGTTTTCAGTGGAATAGGTGGGGTTGAAGTTGCTTTACACCGGCTTGGCATTAAATTGAAGGGAGTTGTATCTGTAGAAACTTCCGCAACGAAGAGGAAGATATTAAGGAGGTGGTGGGAGACAACGAGACAGACTGGGCACTTGGAGCAAATCGAAGATGTTCAAAAGTTGACAAGCAACAAGCTTGAAAATTTGATGAGGAAATTCGGTGGTTTTGATTTTATCATTTGTCAGCAGCCGTGCAGTGACTCAATTTCTAAGCTTCCTCCACAGAGTGACTTTGTCCCAGGTTTTGACTTCTCCTTGTTTTATGAGTTTGTTCGTGTTTTGCAACGCGTGAGAACTATGTCAGAAAGAAAGAGCTGACAGTTTGCATGCTCCTCATGGATTTTGTGGTACATCTTTTTTTTTTTTTTTTTTAAGAATAAGCAGACTAGTTCTTTCATGAAAATTTGAGCTTGAGAATGTCACGCCACTTCCAGATAACGCGCGCGCGCGCACTCACACACCGAAAAAACGATAGCAGTAACATATATTGACTAATTTGTGTGCGTAAGTTGCAAAGTTTATGATAATTATGTTGATACTGGTATTTCAGCCTCGTTCTTGACCGTTATGACGAGAGATATAGCAAGAGGTAGATATATTTTGGGTGCATCTGTGTCCCCCTCGGCTTTACATTTTTGCATTCACTTTCGGTGTGCTTGAAGGAACGATTTGAGGTTCACTGTTGCCCTACACTTGGGGAATATGTGGCTCACACGTGTCCCTCCAATCTTTACGTTTTATTTTATTTTATTTTGCTTATTAAGTTAGAATGAGGATCCTCTTCGGATCCTTTTTGTAAGGATTATGAGAATCCTTCAATCGTATCATTACATCGTGCAGTCAGAAATCATTGTAATATTTTTTTTATTTAAAATTGAATATAAACAATATTTAACAAAAACTGACCGCATAATATATTATAAACGGATAGAAGGATTACCGAATTCTCACAAAGAGGATCCGGAGAGGATCCTCATTCGTTAACTTACATTTGGCAACACGGTTTGCAAAATTGGTGGCGAGGATTATGAAGCTGTGCCCTGCCCTGTTTCTCACAGTGATTAATGAAAAGACTTCTTCTCTTAGTAAAATGTATTTCTCGAACTTGGGATGGTTGCGGGATGTGAGTAGTTAGTCCACGTCAACTGGCAATTGCAATCTCGCAAGATTTGTTTCGCATTGGAGAATTTCTGCTAAATAAAGACAGAAAAACATAAAAGAAAATTTATAGAACTAACGAATTGAAAATCATTTTCCGAATTGAATCTTCACAATATACTAGATTGTTTTAAGTATTTCTACATCTCCAACGTTGCCAATGAATTTGTTGAACAATAATGGTCACTACTTTATGGACTATAAACCAATCTAAATTGGTAGCTGCATGCAAGAAATGATTGAAAATCATGATTTCGCTTTTATAAAGAAAGCCAGTGGTAAGAACCAAAGCAAAAGGATTTTGGGTTGAATTATTATTCTCATTATTAATTATTATTTATGTTAAGGTCGAGTTATATAACTGGAGAGATTTTTCAGTGTACGGATACATACGTTATGTATTATTGTACAAGTGGAGGGACATTTGAAAAAAAAACCCTCTACCTATTAGTACGGCGATATATAATATATCGTCTCATGTTCTAGACATATAGAAAAAGGTTTTATGTAACTTAACAGTGAATTGAAAGATGTTCCGATTGGAAAAGGCTTTCTTCTTGTTATGAACACTTTGATTATGGGCAATGATGGTAGTGGATGGAAAATTCGAAAACAAACAAAATTCACAGCACATAGATTACGTCCCCAGGGCCTATAGGGGGTCCCATAAGTTAACCACGACATTTAAACGTTGTATGTAAGTTATTGTAGGGTTGCAAATTTATTTTCTAGCTAAATAGAATTCACCCATGTCACATATGAGCTATGAGTAAGATTTTGTATTTGGCACGCTTCAGTTGTACGACCAACTAGCTCTTTGTCTGATGATGTTTTTTCTTTTAAGTTGAAAGAAATATCCAACGCGTGTGTATTTCAGCCGGTTAAGTATATATCTCTATAGACTCAAATTCATGCGTAGATTTTTTTCTTTTTCTTTTGATGTATCAAGAAAAAGTTGAAAGAAGTCTCGTGTTTAACTAAGCTTTAGCAAAAATGTTTCCGCGTTAATGCCGGCAGGAAGGTTAAGAAGAAAACGAAATGCATTGTCTATATCCTCTGTCATGATCATAGATCTGTCATAAGCATGATTATGATTGAAATTCACTTGTTCACATTGGCAGTCAACTTACTCGGCATAAATAGAACCCTAATAGTGCTACTTTTGTCATTTTTTTCACTCACTTTGTGTACATTTGCCATGAACTTGGAAATCCCATACTTCCACTACGAAGAGATACACTTAGGACGATACAGAGCACAATTAAACACCTGAAAGAAGTTCTAGTTCGAATTCACCATATCTAAACGACAACAAGAGGGATTATCGGTGCCACTGAACAAATTGACTATTCATAGATTTGGCAAATAACTTGGCTAATTACTTGGCTAATGGGAAACAAACAACTTTTAGTCGGGCAGTTTCTTTTTTTTGTTTTCTTTCCATTTTCTTAAAAGCAGAATGATTTTGCTACAACAATTCATATTTTTGGGAGCCGAAAAACTCACTGAAATAAAAAAAATAAAAAAATTGAGAACGTTTTCATGTTGCTCCCAGTGTGTAAGCAAGCACTAATGTAAGAATATTTTAATTTTTAATGAAACCTAAAAAATGGCCAGTTGTTTTTTAAATTGGCCTTCACCCACATCCCATAAATAGGGGTAGGATTATCTCTCCTCCTAATCTCTCTTTCCTTCCATCTCCTCCTATTTAAACGGTTACGATTATGCTATGTCTGCATCTTATTTTGAATTTTTTATATAAAGAATAAGATAAAAAAAAAAAGTGAGAAAAAGAGATGAAAGAGAATGGTAATAGAAGAAAAGAGAATCTTACTCTATAAAAATATGAGGCAGAGATGGTTCGAGGCAACTCACAATACACTACCAAAAAACATATATACTTTTCCATATTTTACACAATAATACGCTATACAGTATACTGTATACACAACAGAGAAACTTTTACAGGCCTGGCTCTCTCTCGGTCACATACACTCAGGAAATCACAGACACGAAAAGCAGCTACATTTTCTCTCTTTTCTCATCACCAGCACTTTCTGTGTCTGATTGAAGTAAGTATTTCATGCTGCAGCTACTTTAAATCTTCATCCTTTTTCGTTTTCTACGTATTTTTTTACATTCTCAGCTTTCACAATGAAAGCTTGTTGTTTTTTTTTTCTTTTTCTCTTTGGGTTTGTAGGCAGATTTCTGTTATTTTCTTTGCAGTTTGGCTGTGATGTTGATGTTTTCTTCCTTTGTTTTTGACCCACATTTACTATTAGCATCAAATCTACAACTTTGCCTTCTCAGAACTTTCCAAGCTTATATATTTGGAGCTTTGCTTCCACCCTTTTGTGCGTTGTCTTCGTTTGAAATGTAAAACAAACCAAAAGGGCTGTCTTTGATTGGATTTAGTTGTCCAATGCCACTCTCTTTCTGAATATTTCTCTGCATTTTTCATCTGGGTTTCAAGGTTGGCATGCTTATAACCTTTTGTCTAATCCTTCTTGGACTATATGACGTATTGGGGTTGTGCTTAAACAGCAAGAATCAAGATTTACCATTTTTTTAATCAGCTTGTATCTGTCAGAGATTCGATTCAATTCAATTCAATTTAGTTCAGTTATTGCTGTTGACACATTGATATCTTTGCTTGTTTAATGTAGATTTGGGTTGTCGGTTCTTCCAAGCCCACCTCAGTCACCTTGGTAATGGTCTGACTTTTGTAGGTCTTGTCTTGGTTTCCTGACTGCACTTTGAGATTTGGTATCTTTGGCATTCAAGAAAGTGAAACCATGGAAGAGACGTTTGTACCATTTCGCGGAATTAAGAATGATCTTCAAGGGAGAATGATGTGTTACAAGCAAGATTGGACTGGTGGTTTCAAGGCAGGCTTCAGGTATATCCTTCGCTTGCTATCATATACAGGATTCCACATCATATTCAACTGTGATTCTTGCCAAATTTTGGTTGGAATGTTATTCTGGCTTGGTAACTTGGTTAATTGTCTCAGGATTTTGGCGCCCACCACTTATATCTTTTTTGCATCCGCTATTCCGGTTATTTCATTTGGAGAACAATTGGAAAGAGATACAGGTAACATTTTATACCGGATTCTTCGGTATTGTTTGTTGTTGTTGCTCAGTTTCCATTAAGTGCCTTATGGTTTTCAGACTGAGTTTAAAATGGTCCTAATATCAAACGTTGATAAGAAACATCTGAAATTATCATTCTACAGGTTATGCATTAGAGTTTGAAATTTATGTTTTGGCATCATTTCTGGTGTTCACAGGTGGGGTTCTCACAGCAGTTCAAACATTAGCATCTACGGCTTTGTGTGGAATTATACACTCGATTCTTGGGGGTCAGCCTTTGCTGATTCTCGGAGTTGCTGAACCAACTGTGATTATGTACACGTTTATGTTCAATTTTGCCAAAAATAGACCAGAGTTGGGATCAAAGCTCTTTTTAGCATGGAGTGGATGGTATCATATTTTCTTTGTGCTAATAAATGAATTGATATTGAGATTTCTGCTTTAACATTAATCTCTTCTTTGCAATTATCTCTTTTAGACTCTTTTTTTTCCCCAACTCTTTTGACTCTGGATCCGCCTTCATGAGTTTATATTGACGTGCAGGGTGTGCGTCTGGACTGCAGCATTGCTGTTTATGCTGGCTATATTAGGGGCTTGCTCCATCATAAACAGATTCACTCGTCTTGCAGGAGAGTTATTTGGCCTTCTCATTGCAATGCTCTTCATGCAGGAAGCTATAAAAGTAATTCATCCCTTCCTATTCCTGCATTTTATTTGCTTACAGAAATATTACTTGCTTATTTCACTTGGATTTTCGGTAGTTTCTGTCGGTCATAGATGGCATTGGTGGATTAGATCCACCTTTTTCTAGCTATAGTTCTGAATTTTATATTATAGGGACTTGTTCATGAGTTCCGCATACCTGAAAGAGAAAACCCAAACTCAGTTCAATTTCAACCTTCATGGAGATTTGCAAATGGGATGTTTGCTTTGGTTCTGTCATTTGGCCTTCTACTTACTTCATTAAGAAGCAGAAAAGCAAGGTCTTGGCGTTATGGATCTGGCAAGTGTTATTTTGTCTGGAGTTACATACACACATGTATAATTTCAATTTATTACTTTGCTACAAGAGACTGATGCCATTAGCTTTTTCCCTCTCACAGGATGGCTACGAGGTTTCATAGCAGATTATGGCGTTCCATTGATGGTATTGATCTGGTCTGCTATTTCCTATATACCTGCTGGAAATGTCCCAAAAGGAATTCCAAGGCGCCTCTTCAGTCCAAATCCTTGGTCACCAGGGGCATACGAGAATTGGACTGTCATCAAGGCACTGCCACATCCTACATTTTATTCTCTGCCTTCTTTATGGTTTTCCGCTTGACACATCAGGGTATTAATGGTTTGTTAAAATTACAGGACATGCTGAATGTGCCGGTGCTTTTTATATTTGGAGCTTTCATTCCGGCAACAATGATTGCAGTGTTGTACTATTTTGACCACAGTGTGGCTTCCCAACTTGCTCAGCAGAAGGAATTCAATTTGAGAAAACCACCTTCATTCCATTACGATCTACTTCTCTTAGGGTTCATGGTATGCAAATCCCTCTCACAGTGCTAGTCACTTTTTCTTTAATCCCCCTCCTAGAAGTTTAGTGGTTGCAAAAAAAAAAAAAGAGTTCAACCGGTATCCGTTTGCTTTGAGATTACGAAGTTTTTGCTGCATGACAGGTCATAATATGTGGTCTCTTAGGCATTCCTCCATCCAATGGTGTCATACCACAATCTCCAATGCATACAAAAAGTTTGGCCACACTGAAGCACCAGGTAGGCATACGTTAATTGAGTGGTTCAACCTCACTGTTCTCTGTGCTGTAACCAGAGGTTGTGAGTTTTATACCAACTCAGTGTCCCTTAAGAACCCAACAGGGTAGGGATTAAGCATTATAATGTGTTCGGAACATGGAGATGCACATTTTGACACTCACACACCCATGCACTCTTTTTATGTGGTTTAGAACTTCAGATTATCTTTACAACTATATTTGCTTCTGTTGCAGTTACTTCGCAATCGACTTGTAGCGACAGCAAGGAGATGTATTAGAAACAATGCCAGCTTGGAACAAGTATATGGAAGCATGCAAGAATCATATCAACAGATGCAAACCCCACTAGCATACCAGGAACCTTCAGCTCGGGTACGATGACTTGATATGCCCTTCCCCTTTTCCTTCTTTTGTTCGTTCATATGGCATAGACAATGCTAACTGTTGTCCAACAAAGCAGGGATTAAATGACTTGAAAGATTCAACTGTTCAAATGGCTTCAAGCATGGGTGACATAGATGCCCCAGTTGATGAGACAGTGTTTGATGTTGAGAAGGAGATCGATGATTTATTGCCTGTTGAGGTGAAAGAGCAGCGGCTTAGCAACTTGCTTCAAGCTACATTTGTAGGAGGATGTGTTGCGGCCATGCCTTTTCTTAAAATGATCCCAACGTCAGTACTCTGGGGTTATTTTGCCTTTATGGCTGTTGAGAACTTACCGGGTAACCAATGTTGGGAGAGGATTCTACTGCTCTTCACTGCCCCAACTAGAAGATACAAGTAATTCTCTTGACCCTTTTCTCCTGCACATCTTTCAATTTGTTAGCTGATCTCAATTTGTCAAAAAAATTTATTGAACTGCATTCACTTTCGTGTTCAGAGTACTTGAGGAATACCACGCCACCTTCGTCGAAACAGTACCATTCAAGACAATTGCAGCTTTAACTATTTTCCAAACTGCTTACTTGCTTGTTTGCTTCGGAATTACATGGGTTCCTACTGCTGGGGTTCTTTTCCCATTAATGATCATGCTTCTGGTTCCCGTTAGACAGTACATTTTGCCCAAGTTCTTCAAAGCCGCACACCTGCAGGATTTAGATGCCGCAGAGTATGAAGAGGCACCTGCTTTACCATGCAACCAGGCAACTGTTAGTTTCCAATCGGATACCTTTTTTGTTTTGTCTCACAGTTTTCTGATAAACAAGTCTGCAATCTGCTTGAGTGCTACTTCTCTGGAAACACAAGAGTGGATATTGAATAGAAGCCTTTCAGAAATGTTTCAAACAATTCCTGACCTGGTTTATCTGTGTGATTAATCTCCATGTGTATTTTCAGGAGCGGGAGATGAGTAGGACAGCGTCATTCGCAGACGAAGGAGAGATTTTGGATGGGATGATTACTAGAAGCCGGGGCGAGATCAGGCATGTGTGCAGTCCTAAAGTGGCAAATTCACCAACAGCATCATCCAAGGAATTCAAAAGTAGTCTGAGCTTCTCGGACAAGGTAATCAGTCCTCGTCTAAGCCAGCTGAGAGGCGATCAAAGTCCTCGGGGTGTCGGAAAAGGGCCATTTAGTCCAAGGAGCGGAGAGCCAAAATCATCTAACTTACGGAAGAGCGGCTGAAGCTTAGAACTCAGATATAAATAGAACAAGTATTTGCCTGCAGATTACTGTCAAATTACTACAAGAGTAGAATGGCATTTTCCCCTGCTTTTACTCGACGCAATTTCTAAATTTGGGAGAAGATTTGTAAGTTGTAACGAACTCCATTCATAACAGTGTTAAATATGAAGAGATATTACACTTATATCATTTCTAGCCAAATGAAGAAACTCTACGCGAATCGACGTTCATTGTTTACAGGCTTTTGAGCCAAAATGGTATCTGGGATTGACATAATTCCTCATTTTGGTTCCAGAGATTTGAAATCGGTAATAGTGGTGTCCGATGTTGCACACCATCAATATTTTGGTCATTTCGTGAAAAATCTCTATTAAATAAAGAGAAAATGATAAAAGTACCCCAAAATTTTTGTCAAAATCATTTTGGCCTATTGTTTATTAAATTGAGGGTATTTTTTTAATTTTGCTCCCTAATTTAATAGGGATTTTTCGCAAAATTACCTAAATGATTGATGATAGAAAACTCAGCGATCACTTCTATCGATTTCAAATCTCAAGAAATGATGTGAGGAGTTAGGCCAATTTCATAGACCATTTTGACTAAAAGTCTTTTCTTACACCATGGAAACCAATTTTGCGCTCTGTATAATTCCGCACTCTTGCAACAGTATATTTTGAGAGCGTGATTCGCGTTACAATTTATGCATTCGGAGAGGCAAAGTAAGATGGACGTGTCCTTAGTCTTTAATTGCATGGAAATAAAGTTGTGTGCTGTAGTTTTCACGGCATTTGACTTGGAGACCTCCGCGGGAACCATTTTCTACTTAGCTTCGGAAGGACTTTAGGCCCCATGGATACTACTCATTCCTTTTTCCCTGAATGATGAGAAGAACTCACACATAACTACAAGGCTAAGGTGGCAGTATTACGAACCAATAACGTGATATTAAGTTAAATCTCATTAGCATGCATGATATTCTGATAAGCTTCAGATACCGTTATCTTGGCATCTCAGTTGCATGCAAGTTTCTCTCCTACTTGCAGAGTTACATTGAGTTCTGCCAATTTTTTCAACAAGGTTTTGTAGATTAAGAGTAAAACTTCACTTCTTTAATCTTCAAGATTACTATCAACCATCTTAAGATTCAAAATGAGAATTCTTAATCAGCTTGCGGCAGAAAAACAACTGAGTATAAACTTCTCTGCCAAAATGCTACTACGGGATTTTCGAGAGTTAGAATTTGGTCATTGGATCCTTTGACCAAGGATCTAACAGCCGAAAAACCCGGTGGAAACAAATAATGAAGAAAGAAAACACACATCACAAATTCCAAAGAAGCTAAGCATTCACAATTCATCATAAACAGGCGATAGAGCATTAAAGCTTACAATGTTATCGCTTATTTCACTGCGAAAACTTCATCCCATACAACAAACTGGAATCTCAGGAGGAAATTAAAAACCTTGACATCAAAAGACCTAGCTCTTGCTGCTGAACTTTCGACCGGACATCTTCTCGGACTCAAACAGTATATGGTTTGTGAGTCCCCTCAAGGAAGACAAATTCAGATTCCATCAACGAAGTTGAATAAGAAATGCATGCATATTGAGAGCATGTTTTGGAGAATTGAATTCCATCAAAAGACAAAAATTTGGAGAACTGATCATCCAATTTGGTTTCAAATAGCCCGGATATACAAGGGCTTGTTTGGTACTCTACTTGAATCAAACTTTTTAAACTCAAAAACAATTTTCAAGTTTTAATCCTTAAAAACTTGTTTGGTAGGACTATTTTAAAAAACTGAACTCAAGACTAACTAAAAAATATAGTCTATTATCCAAAAACATAAAAAGTGAGTTTTTAGATTTTTTTAAACTTAAACTCACTCATATATTTTCCCTCCCTCCTCCCCTCTCATTCCAAATCTCTCTCTCTCTCCCCTCTTTTTTTTTTTTTTACCTTCTTCGTCTCTCCTCCAATCCGCTCTCTTCATTATCTCGATTCTTTCTCTTACTCATCTTCCTCTCTATCTCGTCCGATCCTCTCTCTTCTTTCTTTTTCCTTCAATCATCTCTTGCTTTCTTTCATCCTCTCTCCTCTTTCTTCCTCTCCTGCAACCCCTTCTTTTTAGACATCTTTATCTAATTTAAGTCGTAAGATTTAAAAATTTTAAATCGCAAACCAATCAAATTTTTGAGTTTTAAAGAAAATTGTTTTCAAAAAATGTTCTTAAGAAATGTTTTGAGAAATGATACAAATTTTCAAATAGGATACCAAACAGGCCATAAGGAACCGATTATAGTATAATTGAACGTTGACAGCCTTGTCACCGTTGTGTATATGTTGAAATTTTGGTTTAAGTTTTCTTGTATATCTTGATCATGTGAATGTACAAGGATACACATATAAAAGAAAAGAAGGACCGATTACATCCAACGGTCCTTAGACTAAACCCTAGAGACCAGCTATACTCCTTAATTGAAGGAGATTACACCAAACACTAGATATCAGCCATACTCCTTAATTGGAGGAAACCAACTACAAAACTAAGAAGAGATTTACACATAATTTGTCATGAAACACAGAAGGTGCCGTGTAGGCATGCTGCACCCATGATTTCTGGAATTGCATAATCTGTCTAGGGTTGGTAACTCTCAATAAGTCATATGCAGCATCAGTCACCCCATATCGTCTAATCTCTCAATAGATACTATAAACAGACAAACACGAATGCTAGATGCTTACTTATCCTTCAAAGTTTGAATCTTTTCTGGGTGTGTTTTGAATTCCCCCCCCCCCCCCCCCCCCCAAAACCCCCCCCGGCGGGCACCATATCAACGACAAGTTCTGTATTGTGTTGCTGCATCATTAACGAAACAAAACACCAAAAAGGTAATGTGTTATTGTATTTTTCATGCACTAGATACTTATTCCTTGCAAATTGTACGTTCAAATTTGTTAAAATCAGTCAAGAAATACTTTCATAAAAGTTTAAAAGATCTGCAAAATCGCTTCTCAAGGACCAGAGACTCATTCATAACGATACAATAGGCAGGACGTCATACAGTTCTAAGGTAAATATCTTAGCTTGATGGTGACACCGGCACATGGGAGTTGCTCTAATCCAAATGTTATAATATGAGTTGACGACATGATTGATTCTTTGTGGACTTAAGTATAACACCACGTAGCAATGTGACGGTAGCAAACAAATTGGCAAATGCAAATCAAGTTTCGTAACGGCCTACTATAATTGATATTCCTACTGGGCTGGTTTGGTATTGCTGTGCTTTGAAAAAAAGCTGTTGTGAGATTAAGCGGCTGTGTTGTGAGAATAAGTGGCTGTGAAATAAATCAGCAGAGTGTTTAGTAAACTTTTTTGTAAAAGTGCTTTTGAAAAAAAAAAGCAGTCTGATAGTGGGTCTTTTCATTAAAGGAGCAGCACTGTAGCTCCGTGTGCTTTGAAAAAAAAACCAGTTTTCCAAAGCTGCAAATAGCAGCTTTAGTTTTTTTCTTTGATTTCAGCTTATTCTCACAGCAGCTTCCAAAATAAGCCATTTTTTTTCAGTTTACCAAACACCTTAAACCCTCACAGCTTTTTTTCATGGGTGCTTTTTTTTTAAGCACCTCACTCCCAAACCACCCCTTAGTTACGTTCAATCTTGTTGAGAAATCATAGCAAAACACATTTTTCATCACCAAAGAAATGAATTTGCATACCCGATGACCAACATACTTAACTCTTCGAAGGCACTCGCGGTAAAGCTACAAACACAAAAACAACAGCAAGCAAGCAATTTCAAATGTTAACGCAAAAAGATAATTTTTGTATACAAATACTAAGAAAGTGAAGACGTTTTCGATACTAACTCTGATCACATTGTTCGCAAGTTCAGGAGGCAATGCGGTTTGCAGGGACGGCATATTCTTCGTTTCCTGTACAAAATTCCCAAATCCCAGTCAAATCAACACAGTCGAATGTTATGGAATTATTATCCATGCGAAAAGCAATAATTCGCAATGGCAAATCGTCGTGCGGGCAAGTTCAAGGATGCAACTGCAAGGATGAAAAGGAAAGCAGAGGTGGAGGAACAGAAAGATTAGGAAGGGGCAAAAGAAGTATGGTTCTTACCTGCGACTGTTGTTAAGATTTATTTAAGGTTATTTATTTATGCGTCGCTGGAGCTTAAACTAAGGATGAGTTTGGAAGAGTATCATTCTTGTAGAACATGGTTTGATCGACACTGAGTTGATTAAATGTACACAGACACAAAGAAGACGCCAAGTAGGCGACAGCAGACCTGTGGCCAAAAGAGAGAAGATATAAACTTCATAAATGTAACTACAATACATTATTAATGTAGAAATACTAATATATGTAAGCACACACTTGAACAAAATTAGAATTTCACTATAAAATTAATTGACAATATAAAGAGTAGCTCAATCACTTGTAAGTACATGCAAGATCCCTTATTTTCCCGATGTGGGGGTCATATTCTCAGCATGCCTACTCACGTGTGACAAATTTTCAAGCCTAGCACGTGGACATACAAATCGGATGACGTGAAACAAGTGTAGCCGTTGGGTTTCAGAAAAGGGGCAACATGCTCTAATACCATAAAGAAAATTGAGATTCCACCATAAAATCAATTGGTAATATAGAAATAACTCAATTACTTATAAGCACATACAAAATTTCTATTTTTCCTGTGAAATTCATCCTCTCGACAACATTATCATTACTATATCTTAAGGCCAAAATACAAGACCCAATTGATAATAATTCCCCACATCACATCTCACAATAAGGGGGGGAACCCCAGAGAGGGATGGACCCATCAACAGATAAATGGCTCTTGGGCTCTATACAGTACACAGAAACTCTATATCAAGATAAATAAAACCTAAGTAACACGACCTAGAAAGTATAAGAATTCTCTCGTCTGACCACGTGACCATGTGACTATACTCACATACGAATAAGATACAACTCCCTGTATTTGATCCCACCCGATTATCTTTGATGTTGTATGTAAATGGTCGAACAAAAGATTCCTTGCTCTAGCAAGTATACTCAGACACCTCAGCCGCAACCTGAGGTTCCCCCTCTTGCAAGCAATCAATAGGGGGAATAGTAGCAGTCTCTTGGATTCCATAAGCATTCCAACAAAAGGGATCATCCATGAGTTCTCCTTCGTGTGGGTAAAGCTCAACTTCTGAGAGGGTAATATTTCTGCATGCTACGGTGTCACTGCATGCAAAGTGAATGGGAGGCGTCCTCACATCGTACGTCCCCTTTATGTTTCTGTATGTTAAATCTGTGACTAGTACTGCTGAGGTTTGGTTTAGGCATCCCTTTGATAGGCAGTAGTACTGGTCTACTAGCAGGCAGTTGAGCACATTCTCCATCTGGATGTTCTCGAAGAGGATGCCAGATACGCAGCCCGTCCCGCCTTGCCATGTCTTGATTCGGGCGCCATTGTCTGATTCACGTATGACTGCGTTGCGGACTGTGATGTTGGAGACGCATGCCCGAGAGTTGTGCACGCCAAGGCTCCCAATGCTGCAGGAAATATATATTAGCCAAATTAGTCACGGAGCGATATGATCGGTGGCAGACCCAATGGTGTCAATGTAGTCAATTAACCCAAATAACTTTCGTTTCTCAATAATATTGGGTTAGGGTATAACTTAATCACATATTTGTGATTCATTAATTATGTGTTTGACAAAATGCCTCTTAGACTTTTTATTCGTAGAATTATGCATTTGTTAGGTCAAATCAGCTCTATCAATAATGCGGTCTCTCTAGCACTGATCATTCAGGATCTTGAAAGTTATATCACAAAGTTTCTGTTTGAAAAGCAAAGTTAAACTTAGGTTAACTGCATTTTACACCATGAGGTTCGGAGGTCATTTTTGCAAACTAAGCCATGAAATTTCAATTTTTACATTTTACATCACATGGTTTCTGAATTGCACCAATATAACCTCTCTATCAATTTCACTTCTGGTACAATTCAGAAACCACTTGGTGTAAAATGCAAAATTTAAAACTTCGTGACTCATTTTTCAATGACTTTCAAATTTTGTGGTGTAAAATGCAGTTAAGCCTTAAACTTAAAGCCCTTCCAACTGTTAAAGTAATTACCAAATGATCAAAACATAACATTTTTCATGAAGAAGTTAAGGAGGGCACTTTTGGAGGTTGAGAGAAAAAATGACATAAATACAAACGAGGTTTTGGACACAAACGGATGATAATTGGTAGGTAGCAGCCGAGAGAGTGTCATTTATTGATACAGATTATTCCTGTACGTACCTAATCCCGTGACTTGGCCCGCAAGTGACCCCCATTATATCAACATTTGCACACCCAGTTCCTATTGAAATGCAGTCATCACCTGTTTAAATCATGGCAAGTCAATAATTTAGGTCAATTAGTAATTTCAATACTCTTTTTTCACCTTCCGAACTACTTTTGTGAGTGCGGAAAAATTATAAAACATTCAATAAGAAATGCAAGCTAATAAAAATAAAGTACGAAGATCGTTACCCAGAATTACCAATCACAATTTCTTACCGTTGCTAATCATTGAGTCGTATATTGCAACAGATTTTGTGTTCTCTATGTGGATCCCATCTGTGTTGGGGCTAAGCTTTGGTGAAGAAATGGATATTTTCTCAATCAGTACTCCTTCACAGCCATCGAATTTCATGTGGAACTTTGGACTGTTTTGGATTCTTAAGCCTCTCACCACCAAATTAGAGCTCATGAAAAATCTGATCATCTGAAGGGAAAGAAATGGTAAAAAGATGAATAAAATTACCGTGACAGAATATTTACTGTGGTCAGTTCTTGAATTTGGTTGTGGGGTGATTTACTTACCGCAGGACTGTCACATGGTCCTGGCAGTGTTGATCCTTTGGGACCCTGGGGTAATTAACATAACAGTTAATACTATAAATTAGTAACTTAAACATGTTCAAGCTAGAAGGAGATATATATATGTATATATAGATGAACATTAAATTACCCTGTGAGGTTTGCAAGGGAGCTCCCACCACTTTTGGCCGTTGCCTTCGATGGTTCCAGTACCAGTGAAAGTCATTTGGTCGAGTCTGTAAAACACAAGCCACTGGTTTAGGCTGTCTGTTGTAGGCCACGTCTCTGGCCCGTCCGGCGGCATCAAAACCCCATCTACCTGTTTCACATTTCAACCTTAAGAACAAATTTAATGAACCAAATTTCATAGCAACACACAATTTGGAGTCCCTGAATGTTTTTGTGTTGATAATGATTCTTCCTAAATTCAGTTGCCTATGAGATTGGAATTCAAAACCTCCTCCGATAAAGTAAAAGTTAAGTTAATGTCACTAGAATAATAGCTTACTAACGTTTGGGATGTCACTATGATGATCCAAGTCAGTAACGCAATATCATGTAAAAATGTTTAATTATATGATAGTGTGTGAGTGAATAGACATATAGTTATAGTGACATGTAGATAAGTTTTTCTTCATTTTCAGGTTACTAATTAACTACTTGAGGTACGAGCCGCAACTAAAGAAAAACATTAGAACAAGGAATTTCTGAAAAAAAATATATATAAATTCTTACTTGGAATACTAGTCCTGGCTGGCATGGACCTGAAAAAATTGTTGAGGTGATTTTGAAGCAGTAATCAGAAGGAGCCAAAACAACACCTGATTCAACAGCACAGGCTTCCTTCCAAGCCTGTCTAAAGGCAGCAGTGTCATCAGCAGAGCCATCTCCAACTGCCCCATAATCCATGACATTAAACACACAATCTGAAGAATTACTAGAGTTGTTTCCAGGGTCATTTGGGTAAGGGTCTGAGGGAACATGTGGAGGAGGGGTAGGAGGAGTAATGCTCGGGGTTGAAGGAGCAACTGGCTTTTCTGCAGGGGTAGGAGGAGCAACTGGTTCTTCTACAGGGGTAGCAGGAGCAATGCTCGGGGTTGAAGGAGCAGCTGGCTTTTCTGCAGGGGTAGGAGGAGCAACTGGTTCTTCTACAGGGGTAGGAGGAGCAATGCTCGGGGTTGAAGGAGCAGCTGGCTTTTCTGCAGGGGTAGGAGGAGCAACTGGTTCTTCTACCGGAGTAGGAGGAGCAATGCTCGGGGTTGAAGGAGCAACTGGCTCTTCTGCAGGGGTAGGAGGAGCAACTGGTTCTTCTACAGGGGTAGGAGGAGCAATGCTCGGGGTTGAAGGAGCAACTGGCTCTTCTGCAGGGATAGGAGGAGCAAATGGTTCTTCTGCAGGGGTAGGAGGAGCAATGCTTGGGGGTGATGGAGAACCCCGATCTTCTGCAGGGGTAGGAGCAACTGGTTTTTCTACAAGGGTAGGAGGAGCAATGCTTGGGGGTGATGGAGAACCCCGATCTTCTGCAGGGGTAGGAGGAGGGGATGCGCTTTTGTTTCTCTTGTGGTAATGATATCTTCCTTCCACATTGCTTGCATACTGGAAGGTTAATAGAGTCATTGTGATCCATAAGACTCTAAACCAGTGAACGAGCTCCATGTCTTCCTATGAGAGAAAATTACCAAAATGCACTTAGAGAGAGAGAGAGAGAGGCATAAAGCTATATAAAGTGTTCTGGCAAGAGGACTAGTGGAGACATAGGCACTAATTTATACTCAAAGTTATGAGCTCACAAACTTCCCACAACAGTGAGTTGACCAAAACAAAACTTCCCACAGCACTGAACTGTTTTCATGCATATATGACGTGTCAGCATCAGGTGGAATGAAAGAATAAAATAAAATGAAATGAAATAAAAAAAAGTATGATTGTCTCTGGGAAAATTGTTTGGAGGCTTTTTATGTGGCTTTTGGAGCTCGATCTTCTGTTGCAAATATTTAAATCTTGTGGACTGTTGTTACTTCGTTTTGTAGATTTCTTTCTGCAGGTGACCTCTTGCCTTTTTCTCTGTGATACTATGTATTTGGTTTGTTTTGATTCTTTGCCATGTGGTCCAGCTAGAATTCTATTTCATCTCGAGTAATGCTATTAATGATTAATTCAAATGATATGGTTGTCCACATCAAATATCATCTAAAGTGGTACGAAAATGTAGTACAAAAACATAATATGAATAACATTACTCATTTCATCCCCCATTTTTTATTTTCTTGTACTTATTGTTTTCGTATAGACACACACACGACACGTACTACTGTGTTAGCGATTTTAAAACTCATCTTTTAAGCTCACGATGCATTTTGCTTGTAAATGCTGACGGAAGTAAAATATGAGTGTCAAAATCGTTGCCGACATGAAGCATTGGGATGGATTGAGAATTTAATCAGCAGTTTTGAGCGTGTGAACTTCTATGAGGTCGGAGTTTCCTAAAACAGTGTGCTGCAGCCTGCTGCAACCAGATGTGTTTTTAAGTTTTTTTCTACAATCTAGCTAGCTCTTGCTTTCTGATCTCGCTGCTATGCAGTTCTTCTAGCATTAGATGCATTTGGGTTTCTAGGATTGGTGCTTTGAAAGCAAGTAGGAAAGAGAATGTGAACCCCTAGAGACATATATATAAGCTTCATATATTTTCTGCTCTAGAATTTGTTCACCATTATGCCAAACTTGGGTTTCTAAAATTGGTGATTAATTTTTATTTATTTATACCAATTACATATATTTTTGTCCGTTAATTTCTTTTAATTTATTAATTAAATAGCCATAATTAGAATTAAAGTGTGGAAGATATGAGTGTGTGAAAATCACTTAATATTACCGCGTACTAGTGAAAAGTCACTATATTAAGGACTGGTTTCGTATTGTTGTTCTTTAAAAAAAAACTGTTTCTGCTGTGCTGTGAGAATAAGCTCATTTTCACTGCTTCACGTTTTCAGCTTTTTTTCCCCAAAAAATATGAAAATAAGCTGTTTTTAAATGTTTACCAAATATCTTTTTGAACTCAGCTTTTTTTATACCCACTTTTTATAAAAATACATCAGTATAATAAGACTTTACGGTAACCAATTCATTTGACATGGGGATAATAAAAAAAATATTCGTTTTGACTGAGCATATCATTCCAAGATTTATGTACGTGTGATATGTCAGAGACATCGCATTGTGTGAGCTGAATTATATGGAAAATGGGACCTAACGAAACTTAAAAATCTTGGGTTTTTTTTTTTCAAAAAAAAAAGCTTGGGTTTTAGACTCCGATAAGTGGAAATGTGTTTGTTAATTAAGGCCAAAGCATAACTTATTATAAGTATATACCGTAAGTAGATTGGACAACTATAATTTTCTATGAATACACCTTTTTTGTCTAGGTTTTAATGTATAAACTATTTGTTTTGATGATTTTATTCCATCGGAAAATTCTATAATACAACTTAAAGGCAAAACATATAGTTGTTGGAATGATTTTCTTATAATATGTTGTACGCATTGTCATCTCTATCTTTCTCGTGATCACATGAAAAGACATACAAAGAATAGTGTACACAGCATATTGCATGAGAGCTTCTCTCATAAGCAGATGTGCAGATATATAGCACACCATCATAAATTCATTACAGTAGGTTACATTATTCATGTGACAGCAATATCTACTACATGATAGAGAGAACAGAGAGAAAGGTTTTCGAGTTAGGGTAATGCTAGAGAGACCATCTATTTAAACTACAATTTTAAATTATATGACGTAGTTGTTGATAATTCAATTATGCTTAAAGTACTTATTTTTTGTTAGTGACACATCACAAAATTTGTAAATGTGGTCGAAACTTTGGTTTACCAAGCACCATTCCGAGCTATGAGATTTTGGAATGTACGGACCATATGAGAGAATAAAATATACATTAGCAGGATGTGGTTGTGATGTAAAAGCAACAACTCTCTCGTGACTCCTCGTTGTTGTTTAGCTAGCTCTCTTTTTTCCTTGTGGCCATAGAATTAGGAAGAAGCATATAGTTGGCGTGCGACAACAATACTAATACCATTCACGGGTTGATTCAAATCCCAATCTACCCCTCTCTGGTCCATAAGCTAGCAAACCTCAAGTCCCTCATGGTCCCTCATGCATGCACAAGCTTAATAAGCTAGCTAGCTAATAATTAAGCATGGTAATTCATTATTGTTAATTAACGATATGAATATAAATGGTAGTAATCCTAGCAACTACTGAGTAATGGGTAACATTCTTCTAGTAAATACAATTCAGTTAATCGATGATTCAGAGTCATAATCTACTGACGATAATATGTTCGAGCAAACAATCACTTTGTAAGAAAAAACAATATTCACCTGATCACTTGGAAACCCTGAATTGTTCGACGTAGCTCAGCTAGGTTTTCGGCTACCAATGATACTTGCTATGAAAAATGCAAAGTGTGGAAGTGGCTCTATAGGGTTAAGATTTTGTGTTTGGAGAAAAAAAAAATGCAACTTTTACGTACGTGCATTAAAATGCACGTGTTTGTCTTAGTCTTTCACGTGCGAGCTCTCACGGGTGAGCTCAATAACCAAAAACACTAATCAAAAGCAAGAGGTTGTGCATTGTGACAATAATAAGAGCCGCACTTTTTGAAAACGGTTTTTTGTTGAGAAAAGGAGGGGATGCAACACGGGGATTGTTTAGGATGTCGCCATCTTAGTATTATTTTCGTTCAAATTCGTTTTGTTTGTACTGTATTTTAACAATTCCGAAATTATTTAGTATTAGTCAATTTTATACATTTAGAAACCTATTGAAGGATTCGTGTTGAGATAACTTTTTAAAGCACAAAAGTTTCTCTTCAATCAATAGGTCAATCACAACGCGATACATTTCAATATCAGAATAAAACCTCTAGAATCCCACACCGATTGTAGGCGAAAATATGCGACTCTCCTACCATTCTCCTATAGTTAATCCTAATGCTATTATTGTACTTAATTCATTATTAAAATTCACTAATGATGATTATGCTTAAACTTCTGTATCATGTACACTCTAAATTATTATGAGTACTCCTCTACCTTCGTAGAGTAGCTCAACTTAGGGTGAACCACATACATCTTGTGTTCGCTTCCTTATCTCTATTTCTCTACATATTTACCTATACTTGATGACCGGAATAACCTTACGACAGTCACAACCTTAACATTTTACGCTATTTCAAAGTCAAATCCAATTTTGTACGTCAACACACTTTACAATTTTTATGTGAAAAGTGCATGTGAGTTTGTATAATCGTACTCAATTTTATTTTTATGAAAATATGTTTGAATGGGGATAATTTGTGGTTCCCAGCTATGACACGTAGGATTGCCCATCTACGCTGGCCTCACGTTAGCACATTGGACATCCCACGTGTCCCCCTTTCAATGGTTAGAAGCTTGTGGGACACACCAAAGCATTCGATGGAAGTGTGAAAGGGGTTCCAACAAATATTTCACGTGCAAATATACGGTAAGCTGATTTTGCTTATCAAGTTCAACATGAAGGTAAGGCGCCAGAGGGTGGCAGGTGCCGGCGGGGAATTCACGGGATATTGTTTTTGTTTGTCACGGGTAAGGTGAGGGGGGAGGATTTAAGCTAAGCTGCTTATGAACTTTTGATTAATAATTAATTTAGTTTGGTTTATGTGATTAATTAGCATATATGTGTTAAGTGGATCCAAAGCATAAAACAGAAGTAGGGTTATTTGCCTATCACTTTACAGAAAAGAACATACAGAAGTTGGGTGTCACTGATTCTCTCAATCACCAATGAGTACCAAGCTTGTTAAATATTTTATGGGTAATCTAAACCCACGTTTAGAGATTACCATGCAATGATTGTTTTATTTAAGGACTCATTTGGTATTTAAGATTAGACTGAATTGGATAACTCACGTAATTCATGGTATGCGCCCAAATATAATTAATATGAGACAAATAAACACGTAAAAATTATGTACGTGTATTGATTAGAACATGTTTGTACCATACTTGACCAATCCCGAAACTACTGAGCACCGGTCAACGTTATACTGTTAAGGACCCAGAAGAGTTTCCCTCCAACCAGGAGGCCAATCACAGAGCAACACGTGTCGACATCAGAAGCTAATCATAGCGTGACACGTGTCAATATCAGAAGCCAATCACAACACGACACGTGTCAATGTCAGAATGAAACTAGAAACTCTCTTCTATAAATAGAGATCATTCTTTTACAATATTTCCTAATGTCATTTGTACTAAATCATTCACTAGTACTCACTAAAGGAGAGCTTGAACCTATGTACTTGTGTAAACTCTTCATAATTAATGAGAACTCCTCTACTCCGTGGACGTAGCCAATCTGGGTGAACCACGTACATCTTGTGTTTGCTTCCCTGTCCCTATCCATTTACATACTTATCCACATTAGTGACCGGAGCAATCTAGCAAAGGTCACAAACTTAACACTTTCTGTTGTACCAAAGTCCTCACTAATTTTGTGCATCAACAGAACATATTTATAACAAAATACGATGAAAAGTTCAGCCATTATATAACTTTTTATTTTTAATTTACTTTCTTTTTCTTAACAATGGGTTAAAATACATATATAACGTGCATTCCATGTGTATCATTATAATGTGAAAATATGTGCATTAAACTAGAAAAGTATGCATGTACGTGTATAATAAGT